GCAAATATGGATATAATTTCAGCCTAAATATTCTGACAGTGAAAGCAATGAGTTGCTTGGAATGGCGAGGTCCGACACCCGCTACAGAGTTCTGCCAGCTTGCATGTGGGAAGGCGACTGAGCCTCTGTTTCTAACCTGGGATGTGCTCTGGGCTAAAGCTCGCCCTGGGGCTGCCAACGTGCCCCGCAGCTCCCGCTGTCCCACTGTCGGGTCCCCTGCGTCACAAAGGGCCCCAGTCCCCAGCCAAGGAGAAGGGAAGCCTCTCGATTGTAGTGAGCAGTGAAAAGTGTATTTTATAAAACGTATTTTTACTTTCAGTCTTTGGGTTTTGGTCATCTTCGGGGAAGCAGGGAAAGGCATTATTTAAATAGTTGTAGCTGCAGGGGATTATTTTCTAAATTAACAATAGTAATTGTGCCTGCCAAATCCAAAGTTGAGGGGATTCATTTATTTCAACTCTCAAGACAATAGCACAATTTTAGGTTTCATATTGCAAGCTCTGAAAACCAAATGGTGGGGCTGATGTTTTTAAAAAAATAATTCAAACAACATCAATTCATCAGACTTTAATCCAGCTCTTTCCACTGTGTCAGTTTAACTTGCACTGAGAAAAGTTGCTGCTCAGCAAAAAAAGAAAAAAATTCCTTTTTAACAAAATGAATGCATCATACATAAAACATCACGGACCATACAATTAGTAAGCAAATGTAAGAGTTCAGCTCAGTTCATAATTATTCAGCAAACCTATTCAGAATGATTTTTTTTCTCCCTGCAGCAATCAACTGTGTGGGCTCATTACCACTGAGAATCCAACGAAGAAACCACCACAGAAACTGCACAAAATAAGCCCATATGCTCGAGACACTTTAGCCCAGCCAGCCCTTAGCAAGAGCCTCTTAAACCCTGCCATGGAGCAAAACCAAGCTCAGTTCTCTGTGGTGTTTGCACTCCCAGCTCTCTAAAGGTGCCCTGTCCTTAGTGCAGCTTCAGGTACATTGGTTGCAGCTGCTCCTCGTCCTCTGTGGTGCCACCTGCAACCACACCAACACCACCGGGTCCCCACAGCACCAGGCATGAGACCTGTCGCTGGAGCAGGGGCTCCCAACAGCCACTTTGCAAAGGAGCTGATGGGCTTCTCTTGGCAGGGATTTCTGCAGAGATATTAAGTGAACGGAATTGGAATATTTTGAAGGAGAGGTTTCCAACTCTGGCAGGAAAGTTTTCAGCATTTCTGCCTGGAACAGTTCAGGGAAACCATTACAGCTCCTCTCTCTCCAAACTGCAGTGAAGGTGGTGGCAGGACTGATGCAGGAGGCAAACATGTAAAATTATTAGATGAGCCTGCGAGTGCAGCAAGCACGGAGCCGGTTCTCAAGGGAAGGCATCGCTCCAGAGGGGATGGTGTCTGTCAGTGTGCACCTGCTTTAGCTCCCAAGAACAGAAGGAAGACCTGCTGTGGGCAAAGGGCTGTGACACGTGTGCCTCCTGGGCTCCCAGGGGTTTGCTCCCAGCACAGTCATACGGCTGAGCTGGGAGGCACCGGGCATTGTGCTAAAAGGCGACGGGTAGGGACTTCCAGGGATCCGACCTCTGTCACTCCTTGTCTTTCCCTGCTTGAGTGTCTGAAAGTGACTGGTTTGTAATTGAGATTAAAGACAATTTTGTCTGTGAAACCTGATTTGCATTCAGTTTTTGAGAAGTTCACCTTGCCAGTGTAAAGATTTTATACTTAGTTTTGCCAACAATGTTCTTTCTGCAAAGTTTGAACCAAACTCCTCCAGACACTTGCCTGCTTCCCATTTTAAAAAATGCATAACTGAGTAATCAGGGTTAAGGGACTAAAACCATCACAGTCACTTCCTGCAGGGATCTAGAGCATTTTGGTAACTCAGCCCTTTACAAGGATTTTCCTGTTTGGTTGTTTTGCAAGGTTGGTCACCTGGTTTATTTTCTTTACACCACTGCAACCTGTAGCTGTGTATCTTTCCTGTTTCGATTTTCAGGTCTCTTAGTATGGATTGTGATATTTTCACAATATCAGTAGGCTTTTCCATTCCTGCAAAGAGCTTTTTTCACTAATTAAGTACATTGGGTCCTATTCGTGCCACTTAGGTGGAAACTTTTGCAGCACATGGGACACTTTGGTGTACACGTTGAACACATTTAAACTTTTCTAACTTCAATGACTGAAGAACAGGATAGTGCTAAAATCATCCAACACTGAGATTGTACATTGGTAAAAATACAGGAAACCCTAAAGCATTTTTTCCCATTCATGATAACTGCACAGCAGTGCACTGCTTTGGGCTTTTATTTTTCCCCTTCAAATTCCCATCTCAAAAACACACACCGTAGGATCATACATTTCACTGGGGAGGGGAAAGAAAAAATAAGAAATTTTATGTACACAGCACAACAGAATTAGTTTGGTTACAGGAACAGTAAAAGTTTTATGTTTCCTAAAATAGCTCAGTGAAGCATAAAGAAAAAATAGCACCTCTCTGTACCACTAATCGGTGTTTAACTCTTCTCGGTGTTTTATGGTGGAGTTTGTATGACCAACTTTGTTCTGCTGTTTTCTTAAAATTGAACCAGGTGGGAATTTATGTAAGCGTGGTGGACCAGGAACGATCTTTGAGCATGTGGAAAGTCTGGCTCACTGTGGGTGATGCCAGCAAACCACCAAAGTTAATTCATTTTTCATCATCTTATAAATTGAACTACTGTGAAAGTAGAGAGCCAGAGGCTATTTTATAAAGTCCTGATGACTTAATTTCCCCTAAGCATTAGCTTCATGAGAGCACTTGCCTTGGCGCTTCCTTTCTCCATCCTGCCATCCCGTGGGACTTCACACTCTGTGGTCCCATCCTCCCCCTCCCTCACCAGCAGGACAGTGCCTGCCTGCCCTAGCAGAGCAGGATGGTGCTGGAGCTGCTGGATGCAGGTTTGGAGGTCACTGGTTCGCAGGAAGTCACCCAGCAGGGACCAGGTTGGTCTCTCCTGGAGAAGCTCCCCCAGGGCTGCATGTCTGAGCTTCCCCCATGTCCCACTGTCTCCTGCCGCCCATCCCCTTCCTGCCCTCAGGGCTGGGGGACACGGTGGTTCCTGGGGCTCTGACCCGGCTGGACAGCACACTGCACATCCTGGGGTGAGAGGGATGCTTGAGACCGCAGGGCCCACTACTCAAAGCCACCAGGCAAATAAAGCTGCTCCTGTGTTTATTATTTATTGTGTTGGTCCACAAGATTTAACAGTATGACGTGTGTTCCTGAGCCATTGCTGAACCTTGGCTCGCAGTCCTGACTTTTCCAATTTAAACCAAAGTGCCCCTGCCCACACACTGTGGTGAAGTGGCATCCCAAGGCAGCAAGCACTGGGTCAGGCAACATGATTTCACCCACCCCATGTAAGGCATTATTTGCTTTCCAGCAGGAACTACTCGGGCACTACTCGCTGGTACACGCAGCCGCCCCAGCTGCCCTGCACCTCCCGGCAGCCTCCCCCAAACCTCCCATCTCCCCGCCGGAGGCACAAAGGGTTAACGACCTCCTGCTGTCCATAACCATCATCACGGCTCCTCAGCATCCCTACAAAGGGCCTGATTTAATCCCGGTTGCAGACGACTCACATTGTACTCGCAGCCTCGGAGCGATGTCGGGCGATCAGGTTTCCAGCTAATATCCAAGGCACAGCCCAAGCACTGAGCAGGGAACAAAGGCGTCTTTGTTACTGAAAAAAAAAAATCCCCTGAAGATATTAGCAGTGCAGTAGAGTTCAAACTGTTAAATGATTCAAATATTATTTAATGAATACATTTGAAATGAGGTCTTACAACCCAGAACACTTTTTAGATCATCATTTACAAAGAGCCGCCTCTTCGTTTACTTCTCTATGAAGTTGCTGCTTTCAGATTTCAATTATGGTCATTTTGCTTCCAGCCTTTTTCAGGGACTTCCCTTGTTGTCGTAGCTGGGTTCTTTTTGTGGTACATTTTAGCTGGTGACTACTGGGTCTTTCAAAGTCCTGATAATCACATTCCCTTAATTTACCTTGGACTGAATATCTGTGAGAAACAAGGGAGACAGAGGCTCTTTGCAAAAGGAGCAACAGTATTAGGTGCTGTTCTAGAGGGTGCTAAACCCAAGCTTATGAAACTAGGAAATCTGTTAAATTAGCATATCGAGATTTTAGCTGGGATTGGAGAAGCTCTACAAAATTCAGATTGAGCAAATACCTCAAATTTCTTGTGTGTCTTGGATATGCAATGCTAAACCAGAAAGCCATGTAAATTCAGAGAGAAAAGTTAAAGAATCGAGGTAGGTGGCATTCTGGAAAGAAACATGTCTCCAACCTGAGGAAATAAAATTTTAAAATTAAATTAGACCTTTCCGCACTTACAGCAGTGAGGAGTCCAAGGCTGTTCTGAAGCATGGATGGCAGATACTGGCCCTAAGGGGTAACAGCAGCACAGCCAGGGCTGAGCCGGTGCCTGCTGAGAGGTTTTGAAAAAACACAGCATATCTAGCAAAAGTGGGGTAAAGAACACCAAAACAGTGACTACAAGAAAAAGTATCAGAACAAGTACCAGCAAAAAAAGGCACAACACAGTGGCAGAAATACCTCCAGACTCTCAGCAGGTGCATTGCAAAGCAAACCACAGCCCCTCACACCAGTGAGCGTCCCAGCTCTACTGCCAGGGGCTGGGACCTCAAACAGCCACTGCTGTGGAGACACAGGATCCCTGCACTGGACTATCAGGATTTCACTCAAGTCACATGCAGGTGATGCCTCAGGTGGAAGTAATTGAAACTCTGCCTCCAAAACCTGGGTTTGACACATTACCATTATAATCTTTTAAACTATTTCAAGTGCCAGAACTTTGTTTATGGTAGAATTTGCACACTGAATTTTGCCCAGAGCAGGTAATGAGGAGCAGAGGCTCCCAAGAATAAAATGTCCTCAGTGGCCAAACACCCCAGTGACAGGGACAGCAGCTATCAGTCTCTGGATAATCTCTGCTTGATTGACAATTAAATGCTGCTGATTAAAACCCATTTTCCACATCAATTCAAGCAAGTAGAAAGTCTTTCATACAAAGTTACAAAACTACAAAGGAAATATTTTCCTGATGTCCTATCGAGATATAATTCAATGGAGAAGACTCTTTTGAATTTCATGAACTGAATAAAAACCTCAGCCACAGCCCCAAGCTTCAGATTTGCCATAAAACCACAGCACTGCACTTGTAAGTACATGATGTAGCTCCTAAACATGGCTGAATCGACTGAGGTTTGGAAATGCAGAGTAAGTTGTCTTATGGGACATTTTGAGATTGCTCAGAGAACACTTGGAAAGGCCCTAGGGTGGAAAAATCCTGACACACCCAAAATCTTGACAGATTTTTTTCTGACATTTCTCAGTCTACAGATAAAGGCAAAAGACAGAAAACATTCCTCTTTCATTTCAATAATTAAAAATCCTCCAGAAAAAAAGCAAACTCCTTACAAGTCCCTTTTAGACCACACTTGTGTGCAGTCAAGTGATGGATTTCAAAGGTTGCTGCTGGAATATGGTTCACAGCAGTCTATTGCAGTGAGTAAGTATCACGTTTACATATCCATTATGACAAAACTACGTTGCACTTCCATTGCTTCCTGTTGGTTTGCCATCTGGAAGCTAAAGAAGCTGGTAGTAAAGAAAGGATTCAGTTCTGCATTTACCAAAGGAGCTGTACAAGTCTCCATTTGCAGCAGGTGATTGCACAACCTGAGCAGGCAGAACCCCAGAGTGGAGCTGGCCCATCCCAGAGGGCAGGGCTGTGCTGAGCAGAGAGCAGGAATGGGACCAGCCAGGAGGGACACCCAGACCCCCATCAGCACCCCAGTGCCCGTGGGAGGCACCTCCCACCTGCAGCCCCCTCCTGCTGCCTCATCCCACCTCTGCCAGCCCAGCCTGTTACGGTGGCAGTTCAGGAACATCGAGGTTCCAGGCATGTGCAATGCTCAGCTGGAACTCCCAAACCAAACCCAGCCCCAGAGCAGCCCCGAGTGTGGCCTTTGGGCACTCCCACCCCTCTGCACAGCTCAGGGACCCCAGACACCAGCTCGGGAACAACCTGTGAGTGCCAATGCCTGAGAGAAGAGACGGAGCATTTTATGATCAAATTTATTTAATTAAATTTCATTGCCTGCTTTACCGTGAGTCGCACCAGAGACTGCCAAAGGAAACTAAACATTGTACATTCACTACAAGGTTCTCTCAAATTTTCACAACTAGTCCAAATCCATGGAAGTCACAGGGTCCCTTTCCCACCAGCTGTGTTGCAACACATTAACGACGGTGGGACACGAACTCCAGCACCGAGGAGATCTGAGCCCTTGGGTTCCAGGTGTGCAGCCCTCTGGGGAACATGCACTTCACATCCATGACCTGTGTGTGTGTGTGCCGTGTCTCTGTGTGTATTTACCAATCCCACCTCCTGGTGGTACAGGACAAATAACCACTTAACTGCTAACCCAGAAAGGAACAAAACCACGTTTCTCTGTGGGACCTGGAGGGTGGGCGGGTGCGATGGCGCAGGCGAAGCAGCAGCCCCGGGCAGGCGCAGCAGTGCTGGCACGTGCAGCACCAGGACAAGGTGCATGGCCCACCTGGCCCACCCTGCCAGAGCAGGAACGTTTTGTCACTGAGAGTAATGGAAATCAGATCCCTCCTTTTGTGAGCAAAGCAGGTCCAAAATGGTTCCAATGCACCTGGCTGTGTGTCAGAATACGAGGATGGGAGTGCACGCAAGGCTTGCCCTGCTGACGACGCCGGGACGAAACCAGGCATTAACAGAACTTTACCTAACTAGTGCTTTTAAAATACTTCGTCTCCAATCCAGCAAGCATTTGGATAATATCCCTCTGTTATATGCTGTGAATAGTTCCTTAAACACGCTGAAGACCTTCTCCCTATGGAGTTTGCTACAGGAGGGATGTGTCACTCCAGGGGCTCTTGTGCATCAGCCCCACACAAACAGCATGGAAACACATCAGGGCTACGACTGAAACTTTCATCATATCTGAAAGTCTACATCTCCCAAAGTGTATTTTCAACATGAAAAGAGCTAAAATCACACTTATATTCCATTGCTGTATGTGAAATCCAGACCATTTGCATGGCTTCCAAAGGGAAGCTCTGGAAAACAGTCACTGCCCAGGCAGGAGTGCTCCTGGAGAGAAGGGCTGTCTCCCTCCTCACTGCCTGGCCTGAGATACACTGGAAATGCTCTACTGGTATTGTCAGAGTACTTGTCTAAAAAGCAGCTTCTGGAAAATTCCAAGTTGCAATTACTTTATAAATCACAAGCCATTTTTCCTTAATCTTGCCAATTTTAATGAAGAAAAACCATTAGCATTTCAATGTACAAAAGTCCAATAAAACAAGATTTTTTTTTTTCTTTTAAATCAGTGAGTGGGTAACGTTTGGGTTAAACTTATTCAGCAGTAAAAGTCTTCCAATTTCCACTAATAGAAATTTTTTTTCTGATTTGACTATAGGATAATGACAATCCAGAAATAAATAGCTATAAATACATTCATTGTTCCTATTCCAAAACTCATCACATAGGGAAGACATAAAACTGAAATTAACTTGTTTGAGAGTGTTTCTTTACAATGAGAGATGGGTGAGTTAGAGGCAGAATGACTCGGACAGGAGAAAAAAAAAAAAACAAGTAGGGCAGAAATTGGTCCAGTATTGACATTCATGAACATACCAGTTAGCAAAATTCATCCTTTAAATGACACTACTCAGTTGATTTTTATTTGCTTGGGGTATACATAATGAAAGCAGTTTCCTTGGAATCTTTGCTAGGACAGGTATAGCACCCGGAGACACTGTAACCACCCCTTCGTCTGCATGTGCGTGTATAGTTATATACAGAGTCATGCACCCACACACACATCCGAGATCCGGCACCGGCATCGCCCGTCGTCACTCATCATTGGCAGCGCTCGTTCCTCTCACTTGGCCTTGGTTACGCAGCTGTGGAGAGACAAAACACAAATTCCACATGAGCACCTTCCTCAGACAGGGAGTTCCAAACAGGCAGGGAAATTATCTCCAGGGAAAGCCAGGCCAGGGTTGTCGGAACACCACCGGGACTGAGCAAGTCACACCAAAGCAATGCCGGCTCCTGAGGGAATCTCAGTTGGAGCTGTCCTCGGGTGGGAGCTGCCCCCGTCGCTGGGGAGCTCACACGGATCAGTGGGATTTGGCACCGTTGGGCTGGGATTCCCAGCAGTGTTACAACAGTGCCTGTGTGGAACAGCAGCACCACAGTGCTGGGCATAAGCACCAAGAGCCTGTAACTCCTGGAGAACCTGCTCCTGCAGAAATGGTTTAGTGTCTATAATAATGGGTGGAACTGGATTTCAAGAACTGAAAGTGGTTGGAAGGTGACACTCCACAGGTTCCCTAAGTGATGTGGACCAAGGCCACAGATCACTCTGCTCCTGTGCATGCAGCAAAGCGATGCCGACGTGTCCAATTGGTGCCCAGAAGGACGGGGCGCGTGCCAGGGCCCAGTGCCATTGCCATGGCAGCAGCAGGCCCCACACCTCAGGTGTCTGCACTGGGTAAGCATCAGGCACCAGGGCAGGTGGCCAACACTGCAGGAATTCTGTCCTGGCCTGAGCACCTGCAGCAGTGCCTGTCTGGTGTGCCCTGGGCACCACGGGTCAGTCCCACCTGCTGATCACCACACCAGTGTCGAGCAGGAGCAAGGCAACATCACACATGTTATGTGGATTATTAGAATGACTTCTGCCAGCAATTCCCATCCATCAGAACATTAATCCCTCTTCTCCTTTTCCATCCAGCAGTTGACTTACACAGCTTGCTTTGCCTCAGAACCTACAGAGAACTCCTCTAGACGTCCGCAGCCAAAGTGCCTCGAACGGAACCCTTCTTACGCATCTGAAGTGAAATAAAATGTGAGCTCCACACACAGAACCTGTCGTGCCATGGTTAGTACGAGAGAAGGAACGATCTACAGAGCCAGGACTGCTTCTCCCTGGCCACGGTCAGGACCAGCTACAGCTCAGGGGTTTTGGACAGAGGGTATATAGTATTTCTTTTTGGCAAGATCTGGGAACCAGACAGCAGCTGTAAACAACGCTGCTTGAATTTTTACTGGCCCACGATGCTCCAGCATGGAGCCACTGCCCAGGATATCCAGTGTGCCATCTCTACCCTCTCAAAGACATGAGGGAGGTTGGTCAGAGGGCTTTGGCTGGGCCGGGTGCTTTCCTACTCTGCACTGAGGAGCTGATGTGTGTTTCATGGAGCCAGAGACAGAAACAAGCAAGTGAGAGATAAAGAAAAACAGTGAGAAAAAGATGGGCTGGGATAAAGAAACTGGAAGAACACTGATGAGGACTCAGAGAGTAACAGAAAAGTAACAAAAGAGAGATCCTGACTATAAAAATTGACTGAAGATGACACACAGGAGCAACAAAAGAACTGGAATGTGCACAGAATCCAGAGAAAGATCAACTCGGAGCAGGAGGAAGAAAGAGTGTTCATGAGAAGTAGAAGAGCACCAGGAAGCCATGTGGGAAAGAACATGCACTGCCAGCCCTGCTTTGTGCCTGGTTTGGCTTTCAGCCACACAGAAGTGCAGACCTGTCCATGCCTGACTGCCCTGCAGGGATGGGAGCACGGAGGTATCTGTCACACTGAGCACCTCATCCCTCACTTCTCAGAGGTCCTGGCCATAAAACATACTTTGTGGTGTACTGGGGATGTAATGGCAGTTACTGGCGAGCACAATGGATGGACTAGTTGAATATGAAACAATATAACATTATTTGGGAAAAAGCTAGCATTCAGATTATTTGGCAGTGATAGTTTTGCCTTTATGATGTTCTCCAATAATGCACTTCACCACAAACCCCTTGCAATTGCATCATTTATAGGTGTTTGTAGATACCCCTCTTGTAACAGCAGAGAAAACCCTGAAACGGTAGGTCCCCACTCCTCTCACATTTCACAATACACACAGAAATCTGGGTTAGTGTAACATCAATACATTTGGAAAAAAAAGGCTTTTTCAACAACACACAAGTTCCTGATGCCAATATCTTATATAAGAAGCTATTTGCAAAAAAGTATTTGACTTGTTTTGCAAAATGAGAAAATATTAAATAAGTACATTTGATATTTAAGAAAGAGGATAAATGTTACACCCAGAGACTTGTGAACTGGGTTTGGCTTAAGGTAAGAACTAAAAAGCAGCAAATATTTTGAAAAAAAAATATTTAAAAGCTACTTACCAGTGATAAATGTGAAACAACTTTCTCTACAAAAAGACAAACATCCACAGTCCACAGACACACAGAGGAACAATTTCCTCACGCACACAGGTGTGTCAGGCTGTGCTGCCTCTCTCCAGCACACCCCTGGTGAGCACCCCTCACTGCCACTGCCCTTGCTCAGGAAACTGGATAAAGTCTTTTTCACTTCAAATGAAGAACTGAGTGTGCAAAAGGGGACCCTTCTGGCAAAAAATCAGTCTAAAGAGGAAAGTGGTTATGCTTCCACCTTCACAGACACCTGGGAACAGCTGG